TAAATAATCATTAGTATGCTCAGAATGTAGTTATGGCACAGATAATATCTAGATTTACAAATTCACTAGTTCATTTGCTTCATACAGACTTGCCTTTGCTTACTGAAGTCGTTTATATCATTAACTCCCATTTTAGGGTTTTTACTAAACGTGGACATGGCCATCCCTGTTTTGCATCGTGATTAGAGACCCTTTGAATTAGTTACGCAAGAGACACTGCACCTAATAAAAACGTATCATTTCACCTCTTGTTTTAGGGGAGGACTCTTAGTCTGGCACAATCTTATTTTGGAAAGAATTAATCTGTTTTCTGGTGCTATTACTGTGAATATGAGATGTTTAGCTTGACTGTGGGCACTAGCTAGCATTTCACATTAACATGAGATTAACTGGTTGGAGCATTTTTCTAGGACTAAAGTGGTCTACCAGACATTCACTAAGCCTTCTGTAGCGTGCAGTCTGTGCAACTGCTTTCTCCAAAATAAGTGGATGGGATTTTTGTTTGGGGTATTTTTTGTGTGTGGTTTTTTTTTTTTTTTTTTACAGAGGAGCAATTAATATAGGGAAAATAGTAAAGTTGAAGAAAAAAAATCATCACATTTCATGTCAAAATGGCATTGTACCTTCTTTTCAATGACTGTGGATTTCTGTTATGAATAAGTAGTAATATACAAAATAATCTTTTAATCAGTCATAGATTTAACGATGCATGAAGAGCTGAGCTTCATTCAGTATTTGTGCAGAGAGTATTGATAAATCTAGGTGCTTACATTAGTCTTCCACTGACATGAAAGATAATCTGGCAATACATTAATATGCATAACTTCACCTTGTTTACACTAGTCCTGTATGTTTATAGTAATTCTATGTGATAATTCTTCAGTTAGTTGAAACATACCTATTTAATTTCTGGTATTGGGTTTTCCCTCTATCTCAAATCCTTTGTTTGTAGTTGTTTGAGGTGTTCATGTTCCAGATGCTGTATTTCTTTCCATCTTAGAGTTGCATCAGCTTTCCACGAGCCAGTCTTTTCTTATTGCTAAATGAGACGTCAGTCTGAATCAGTTCAGTGCAGATTAAGAAATCTTGCTGCGTTTTTTCCTCTCTTTGGCCTCGAAGATGGGCCTGTATATAGATTGTGGGGTTTATGTGTTTTTTGACTTAAGGCATAAGAATGTGCTAAGAGCCCAGTGGTCCACACAACCTGGTGCTCTCTCCAGTGCTGGCAGCAAGAGACGCTATTTAGGGAGAACATCGCAATTCCTCCGCTCTGTTCCCCCACTGTCCGCACATGTTACATCCCTGCTTTTTCCTTTTGATACCTGTGCATGGACCTGTTGTACATGAATCTAAATAATCCTTTTCAAAACTTGTTTATGCCATCTCCTCTTCTGTTCCCTGTGTCAGCAGATTGGATTTCTCACACTTTCCCATTTCTAAAATGCTGACCCTTCCCCTATGGATAGGAGTCTTCATTCTCCCTATAAAGCCGTGAGGGTTGTGAGATAGGTTGTTTATGGCTTTTGATTTATTTTACTTTTGAAATGTGGCTAATATTTCATCTTTGATGCTAATACAGTGAAACGGCCAGGTGGTTATAGGCTGCTTCATTTTTTTGGGACTGTTCATTCTGGAGTGGGAGGGATGGTGGTTATGGAGGGTTTTTTCTGTTTGTTGTTGCTGGGGGGCTTTTTTTCTCTTTCCTGTTTTATTGTTTGCCTCATTGTTTCTATCCTGAAATCAGATATTTATGTAATGGATTTTACTTGGTTGCTTTCTCCTGCTGCAACATTAAATGGAATAGAGTTGTAATTACTGCCATGGAGAGGCTTTCCTGGTAATAGTTCTTGAACAGTGCTTGTGTGCCACTGAATATGAAATGCTACCTTTCACATAGATTTTTAGACTAATTCTACTAAGATGCCGAATTTTCATGTGGGATGAGGGGCAAATCATTCCACAAGCTTTTGTCTTGTGCTCACCACCCTTGAGGAGTGTAGTGATGGGGACAGTCTTTTCAGTACGTGCATTTATAGTTTCAAAGAAATGGCATTTTGCTGGAAGTAGAGTTTATGCTTTCATAAAGTAAAACCTTGCAAGACTTTTAAGATATTCACATGATTTTCCCTGAAAGAGTAAAAGGTAATAATGTTGCCCCTTTTTGAAATTACTGAAGTATTAAATCTCTAATAAAACGGTTTATAGGAGGAAAGGCAGATATTTTATTATAGTCTATAGATATGTTTCCTGTCACGTAGTCTTTTTAACCTTGTCTTGCAGAACAGCTTCATAAATTGTTTGAACAGGAACTTGTACCTTTGCCTGGGCTAGGCAAAAAAATGTGAACGAAAATTAATATTCTGCAATGCTTTTTGATAATTCAGTGTGAATACAGGAGTGAGTTATGGGAAGCACAGCTTTTGAATGCAGCCTTCTTGCTTGGATCAAGTTCCTTCGTAATTTCCAAGTCAGTTTGCACCTGATTTAATCTGTTTTCTGAACTTAGTTTTATAAAAGAGTTACTGAAAATGCTTTTCTTCTATTTTAATCACAGACGCTATGACTTCTTATTTGTCATTGCTTGCTGAATTTCTTTGCACTTATAAATTTCAGGCAAAAATAAACTACTACTCTTGCTAATATTTAAATATTTCCAAACTGCTGAAAACAGTTAAACTTTATCTGCTACGTTGCCTACTTACTTACTAGCTGCTATACATTCTACCAACAAAATTACCATTTCCATCCTCGTAATTTATTTTTCAGTTCTAGCATTTTACTTCAGTGCTGTTTGTCTCTCTATCCAAGTACTAACAGCCTATAAAAATATTATAGTAATTCAGGTTCTTCATTTCAAGTAAAAACGTGCGCTGCTTTTCTGACAATAATATCAAATGATTAAACTAGTGCAGCCATAACCTAAAAGCTCTGATGATGTTGATTATTCAGACCGCTTTAGTGGTTGATTTCAAGGTTCACTCTTGAATGTTAAGTTAATAGCTACAAGGATGCTATGGTCAGCATAGATTTATTTGTGGTTTTTTTTCCTCCCAGTTCAGTTAAGCTTAAAAAACTGTTTCACTATAATTTTAAGATTACATAATTACTAGTTCCTTTGATACCCACTATAAAGTAGAAAAAATTGAAAATAAAATCAAGATTATGTCTGTGATAAAGACAGCTGTATTGCTGCCTGGTGTGTTTGAACGTGCTTGTGAAAAGTTAAATCAGTGGTCTTACGGCTGATATGAATCATTACTTAGAAAGATGATAGTATTAATTCTGTTCTGGGAACAGTTTCCTTATTGACTGGATTTTTATTTCCTATATACTGTTTTACAAGCTATGTTGAATTAAACTCCTGCCATGGTTTAATGTCATAGAGTCACAGCACAATTATTTAGATTATAGAGAAATAGGAAAATAAACCGTTCTTTTGGAAAAAAAAACACAACACAAAACAACCAAACAAAACAACAAACTATGCCAAGTTTGGACAAATGGCTTTAAAAAAAGTTATGTGCTTATCTTGACTACACAAAGAATCCTTGGATTAGCTGGGATGTGAATCTGCAGTGTTAGCTTTGTAGAGCAGCTGCCTGCAGTCAATGAAGAGCGTTGACTTTACCAACTACTGAAGAGCAGGCAACGTGCTGGATGTTCTCACCTCTGATTCCACATATCAAAAGTTGGTTGTGGCACTGTCTTTTTAATAACTGACCAGTATTTTATGCACTGTCATTAAAGATGAAGTAGTTTGTAGAGTATAAATCGCCTCTGAAATGGTATATTTGAAATATTCTGTTCTTAGTTTAGGGGACAGATGTGAAATGGTGCAAATGTTACAGTGCTCTTTGGGGAAAGGTGGTGTTGAGATGGTCTGCGTGTTCTTGAAAGCTCGTATTTGTAAACTATGCAAGAGGAGGCAAAGAACGGAAGATAGAATTTGGTTCTAAAATACATCTTTAAATTGAGAGGAAGTGCTTGTCAAACTGCTCTTTATGATTAAACTGAGAATGATAAGTGGACTTTATGGATTATGTCATAAAGCTCAATATTATAAATTCAGTTTGTTTGAATGTTACAATTTGATAAGGGACTTCCCTGCAGAGACTGGCACTTTTAGTCATAAAGCTCAATATTATAAATTCAGTTTGAATGTTACAATTTGATAAGGGGCTTCCCTGCAGAGACTGGCACTTTTCATCTGGTTCTGGAATTTACTTGTGGTGTGGTATTGCTTCACCTTCAAAATAGTGATGTCATGATTTCCAGTGGAGATTTCTCTCATAAGGTATTAATTAGTGGTTGTTTCATACAAGTTACAGAAATAGTGGTTTACATGAGAACAGCATATGACAGAGTAAGCAGTGTTTCTTTAGAGTAGCCTCTCATTTTTGGTGCTGTACTTGTGAGTCCTTTACTTCTTTTTAATTATCAGTAGCTTTTGTTATTCAAATCTACTTTTGATGTTAACAGAGGGTTTCACAGATGCTGGTTTCCAGAAATTTTAATTTCAATAAAAGAAAAATATTTGATCTTTTCTCCATGTCTATTCCTCAAATAATTTCTGTAACTGAGTACGTGCATTAATAAGATCATTCATTTAATGAAGTGCATTAATGTTACAACAAGTACGAATGCATTAATAAGGTAAAACTCTTTGAACTTTAGTTACTTTTTAATCTTTGAATTAGATTTAAAAGAATGAAATGTTAGAATTTTTACCAATAAATTTAAATAGAAATTGAATAATTTGAACTAATAGTGGAAGTAAGCGGTGACATTTCAACATTAAGTGTGATGATTTGGTATGTTACTTTAGATGTTTTCACTTAATTTTTATGAAGAGTAGAATTTTTATGAGCAGTAATTCAGAATAATATGAGTCCGCTTAATGGAATCATTCTCCTTAAGACTATTTACACTGATTGTTTTTCCCCTTCTGATACCCTTTCTGGAATTTGGAAGCTTTTTAATCTTTGTCATTTTTTTCTTAGTTTCAGCCCAGACTCTGAAGAGCAACCTTGATTCAATGAACCAGCAGATCCAGCGCCTAGAAAAAGACATTGAGAACTTCCCTAAAACACAAGATGAACATGATAAATTTGTAGAAAAGATGAGCATATCCTTTTTGTCTGTCTTCAATGGTGATGTGAACATTCTGATCGTATGGTTAAGTATTTACAGCACTTGAAAATAAGTTTTAAGTCTATTCTTCCATGTTTTTATTCTAACGCAGAGAAAAAGCGTAATAGAACACACTGAATGTAAGAAAACATGTAACTGAGTATAACTTAAAGCATTTGTAATCAGACTTCCAAGGGGGAAACCAAATAGCTTTCTTTAAGGAAGTAGTTATAGTGACTGGTCTTAAAAATAGTAGTATGGGTTTTTTTTTGTCTTAAAGAGCAGTATTTAATGATAATTGTTGAATCATTTCAATCTAGAAAACTGTCAGCAGTAGAGTTGAGAGTATTTATTATTATAGCTTCAGATGTGTTGTTCTTTGAAGGGGAGAGTATTACTTTTGGTAATGTTTTTTATTTTTTTTTTCACAGATCATTTTAGAGAAAAAATATTTACATTTTCTGTTATCAGTAGAGAGTTGTTTTTTAATTCTGTAGGGAGTAGAGACTGTAGATTCTTTAAGCACTTGTAAGTAGAATCTGTGGGAGAATACCAAATGATGTCTTTCTAGCCCGTTTTCCTTCCAAAATTTTCATATATCCAGCTTTACTTTTGCTCAAAAGTATAAAGTAACAAGTAAAGTGTACTGTAGATGCAAGAAGCTTACAAAATTGTGAGGCAGACTAAGTCAAAGTCCTTTTTTTGTTAAACGAAATTTGCAGAGTTTTATTTTGCACAAAGCATGCTTCTGTGTATGTGGAAGTATTTTGAGTATAGTACATGGCTAAGTCCAAGGCATTTTGTGTGTTTATAGAAGCTCAGATAATTCATGTGACATCTATTCTCTTACTGCAACCAGGCAGAAGTCATGGTTTTGTGAGTTTTTCAAAGGGGTTAAAAAAAAAAAGAGAATTGATGTCTAGAGCCCTTCGTGGCTGCTTATCACATTTAGTAGTTGGATGTAATGAAGAGGTTCCCCTAAATACTGTGTGTTTGGAAACTAAGTTTTAGTGGGATTAACTGTCTGAATGGATTCAGTGACAGAAATTCACAAGAAGATATTTAATATCTTCTCTATATGAATTTATTTTAAGTTTCTGACAAGTCTGCAGAAAAGCAGCTTAAAGGAAACAACTCATGACTAAGTTGAAGATTGTTTCTTGTTACTTACATTCTCTTCCACCTTGTTTTATTTGCAAGGTTAGGAGACTTAGTAGTGATCAATTTTGCTAATAAAACACCTTATAATTTCCTGAGATACATTCACATAAGAAAATCTTACAATATTGCCTTATAATGGTCCTTTGCCTTCTCAGCATGTGCGTAGGCTGAATACTGTCAAGTCAGTCCCATTTCTGTTCATAAATGAAGCCAATACAGTGAAATACACCTTTTGCAACTGTGTTTTCTTGTTGAACTTGACAGCTCTGTTTTACAGGTTATGTATGTTATTCGTATCAGAAAAAATACGAGGATCCCATGAAATTTTGGGAAATTAATTGTTGTAAGTTTCCTGGGCAGCTTTGCCTTGGTGCACGTACACTGATTTCACAGCTAGATTACCACTTCCTGGTAATTAAAATGGGCACCCTGAACTGTAGGTGTCTGACAGCTTTTATCATACTAGTGAATTTGGTGGCTTGACAAAATTGATAAGACTGTAAGAAATGAACTGATTCTGCCTAAGGATTTATGTTTTCATAATTAATAGATGACCTGATAAATAGTGTTTTTCTTTTTTAGAAAGTCATCTCTAGTTATGTCAAGTGATCAAATTTGTTTCTGCTTATCATTGAATGTTTTTAAATTTTCTACATTCCTGTATGTTTTTTTAGACTGAAGAATAGATGTTAAGGGGGGTGGGATGAGGAACGACATCTTACTCTTCAGTATGTATTTTGTTTCTGACAGCTTTTTGAGGAATTGCTGTTGATAATGCATACTGAGATTAGAAAGTTAGAGAATTTCAGGCTGAACAGCTCTCTGCTAGAGTGTTGCAGAGAATTTGAGACGTGTCTGAACATAAATCATCTCTCAGTAGAGAGTTTTAGGATGGAGGAATTATACCATAATTAAATGGTTAGTTTTTCTATCCCATTTCTGCTAATAAACAAAGCTGTATACTGGTAATTGGGATGAGAACTTCTTCAGAGGATATGAAAGGAATACTGCTTTGTCTCATACTAAGGTAGGAGATAAATTACAATAAAAATACCATTGATAATATTCATTTATAATAATAAAATGAATTAATATTTGTAATTTAGAAGTAAATGCACAGAAGGTTTATTTAGCGCATACAATCATTCATCTCAGTGCATACTGCTTCATGTAACTCCTGAACGCTTAAGAATAACTTGAAACTACTTTAGGAATTATATACAAAGAGTGGTTTATTACTATTCCAAAACCTGTTTAAAAAGTTGCAATATATTGCAGGAGTAATATGTTGAGGTAAATATACTCCATTGATTAAACAGCTTTGAATTAAAACTGTTGGAATTAAGTTCCTGTAGTTTTGACTGCCGTCTGCTAACTGGAAACATATCAGACTGTCATTTCGTTAGGTATTAACATGCCTGGTCTTGTTAAAATCTTTTGCCTGCCACAGCAATAAATGGTGCCACTATTTTTTTTCTTACTGATTGCATGCATGTGAAGAATTAAAAGCTTATTTTTAAAGAATTGCAAAATTAAGGAAACCATAAATGAAAGAAGAAAAATTACTGCAGACAAAAAATTTTCGAAGCAGTGTGTATTTGTGTTGTCATTAAATAGAAGAGCCATTTGTGAACTGATTTTAATTTTCAGAAAGAAACACCATTCATTAAAACAGAATGCTTTTTAAGAAATAAATCTGCCTTCTTAAAAGGCACATATTCTCACTCATAGTTCTATCTAATAACTACTGCCTCACAACTAAACATGAGTTTTCTTAGTTCCTTACTTGATATACTTCCGTGGTAGTGCAATGATCTGGGGAGAAGTCTGCTTTAAGTGTGCCTGTGACTTTTATGCTCGGATAATGTTAGACAATATTTAATGGGCATAAACAGCGACTGACAATTCTCTTGTACGAACCACTGTACTGCAGAATCTCCTGCAGCAGGCCACTGGGGAAGGAGCACATACACTCTCAATTGGAATCCCAGCATCTGGAAATGGCTGTGAACCTTTTTTCCTCTTTCATAGTGACTGAGCAGCAGGACATCATTTACACACCAACTCGGAGTGCTGAAAGAATGTTAATGGCATTAACACTCTTGTCATCTCTTAACGCTTGGTTGGGATTTCCTCCTAGCTTGTTATGGAAAAATAATTCACTTAAAGTGTTTTGAGATGACATTTTTAGCAGTCTGTTTTTGTTTTTCAGACATTTTAAAATGCACTGGCACCTTCATTTCTGCAAGAGAATGTACATTAATATCTGAATTTGCTCATAACTAGTGGCTTCTCAAAAAATAACTCCAAAGGGGGGAAATTTCTAGGAACTTTTGTATATGCCCCTACATTTGAAGTAACTATCTTTTGCCTGAATGTATTTGAATGTGGTTTTAATGTAGAGCCATTTTTCAGTACTTTAGGAACTGGAACAGAACCGTTCAATAATTTCTCCAATACTAGGTCATGTATAATCCTTAAGACCATTTTATACATGTGCCTTTTCTTGCAATATTTATAGAAAGTTTTCATTCTTGATGTCTACAAAAATGGCATTTGAAAACACTTTCATTGGAAAATGCAGTTCTTGACTAAAAAGAGGTATTTTGGGAAAATAATGGGGTTTTTTTATCCAGATAAAATACTTTTCTTAAATAGTGTCTAGGGA